ACACCACCTTGAGGGACGCCTTGTCGCAGAATAGAACTTTTTTACTTTTAAAACCATCTACCTGTACCAGGATCTTCTGTTATAGATATGCCTTAGTACATTTTTCCATTTATTAAGTTTCTCATTTCTTCAAAAGGCCCTTCTTCCAAACCTTAATCAAAAGCTTTCCTTAAATCTATCATGCCCGAGTACCAGTTTCTTATCTTGAAAAGCATCCTCTATTTCTTGGGAGACTGGTCTTCCGTAGAATAGAACTTTCTAAAGCCCGCCTGCTGTGGTGTAATGATGTTTTCACTGAAAACATACTCACGGCTCAAAAGATCTTCAGACGGATCAGAGGCAGCCTATTGCAAACTGTCAATGCACTGTTGCACCAAGAATTAGTAGCATATCAAATCATGAAAAATCCGAAAAACACAGGATAAAAACAACGTCAAAAAGCCGATCACAGCTTATTACAACAATAACTACTAGGCAAAGTAATGATAACGTTAAAGGCAGCAGAGTTGCAACTTGCTATAGGCATGACCTGCCATTGTGAAATACGCACAAATGATCATCTAAGTGAAATCACGAGAACGCATGGTCGGGGGAGAACATTGGATCATATACAGTTGCATAGAACTCAATGTTCATGTCTAATTAAAAAAAAAAAAAAAACACACACATTATATCGCTTGCACTTAAGGATGACCTTATTGATGATTTTCGGAGCAAGAAATATGCCATCATTATAGATGAGTTGCAAAGACTTCATCCCATCTGATAAAATGCTTAAAGATTTACATCCGAAAAGGTTTACGCTGTATCTTCCACTGGTTCCAGTGAGGATGACAGTGAAGAATTCAATCTAGAGCTTTTGATGTGAAGTGAGTACAGTGAAACCTCGCTTAACGAGCATAATTCGTTCCAGAATCATACTTGTTAAGCGAAACGCTCGTTGTGCGAAACAATTTTTCTCATATAAATTAATGTAAAATACCATAATGCGTTCCATGTCGAAAAAAATATACACAAAAATGCTATGTATAATCGTTTATTCAAAGAAAATTATGTGCATATTGTTAAGGAGAGTGAATCATCTTTATCTTTTCTTCAAACACGGAACAAACCCACCTGGAATGTGAATTTGATTTGCAGAAAAAAGTCGAAATAATTATGATACATAGATAATTATAATTTTTTTTTACTAGAAAGATGTCCAGAGACATTTATTTTTGCCGACGATTCAAAATTTGGCGAAAATGCGACACAGCATTATCATTAAATAAATTTGCAGCGCGCATAGCCCCTTCCTTTTTTAGGGTGGGGCTTCTTAATGTAAGATGCAAAAGTTTGCCATGCTTTCAGCATTTCTCTTTTGTTTTTTCGCCAGAAGATTGTTGCTTTTCTGTTACCTCCTCCTCCTCTGACAAACTTTTCTCCAAAACCTCTTGCTGTTAAACACAATGCAACTCCATAAGCTCTTGGGTGGTCAGCTCTTGACTGTGCTCTTCCACAGGCTCTTCGATATCACTGTTATCCACCTGCAAATCCCATGATAGTGATCAAAGACACAATCTCGTTGACTACAGGTTCCACAGGTACTGTCTCGAACTCCTCAAAGTCACAAAACGGCAAAGCTCTCCGGCCAAAGCTTCTTCCAAGCAGAAGTTAGGCTTCTCTTGGTAACCCCCTTTCCCCCGCCTTGTCGATCATCTTGCGGCAGGCATTGACGTGGAAGTGATTTTTTCAAAACTCTTTGAGAGTGAGGTTGGTCCCTTCAGTCACCTGAAAACAATGCTCGAAGAGTGCTTTAGTGTAGAGCTTCTTGAAGTTATAAATAACTTGCTGGTCCATGGGCTGGAGTTACGGTGTGGTGTTGGGAGGCAGAAACTGGATCTTGATGAACTTAAATTCTTCAGATAGATCATCTTGTAGGCCTGGAGGATTCATGTACATATATCACAATATAACACAAGTTTGAGAAAATTTGTGATCATAATCGACACTACCATGCTACTGGAACAAGTGCTAAACACTGATGTAACATGCGCACAATTGGGGACTTCCCCTCTCCTCGCCACTCGTTATGCGAAACGTCGCTCGTTAAGCAAGTCATTTTTTTAACAATTTGTTTTGCTCGTTATGCAAATTACTCGTTATACGAGGTGCTCGTTAAGCGAGGTTCTACTGTACAATGTTACACCATATTTGGCATTTTCTGGCATATTTTGGGCAATGGTTTGGTATAAAATGAAGTTTTTTTAAATCTGGCAACTCTGTTAGTTAGTTAGTTAGTTAGTTGGGTTATCATCATTGCACTACGTCCATAGCTCAGATCCTCCCCTCAGTATGAATTCCGATGCTAATAGTACAGTATGTGATTCTGGCAATCAGGTTGCCATTTATGCCAGATTCCACAAATCTGGCATATTTGAAATTGAACTGGCATAAGCTAATGAACTGGCATATTCTGGCATATTTGAGTTTTTCCTGGCATTTCTTATCAAGATGTGCTCATATTTTCTTCATGGTTCCTCTGTTTTGAAAAACGCAAATTTACTAAAAGCAATGTAGACCTACAGTTAAAATCTGTATTTCAGTTTGACTTTGTTGTGATGTCCTGTTACGGACTAACGGAGATTCGCGCCATTTCTTATTGTTTTTTGTTTTTTTGTCTTCCTAAACGGATCGTGACTGCTATAAACCTCTGTCATTTATGTTAATTTACTAGAATAAATGCGAGATATAAAACGAAAATCCACCAATGATACAAAGTGATTTAGACTGTTCAAAAACTACCTGAGAACATAAAAAAGATAGGATATATACCTAGTTCTATCTGTGATAGATTTTATTACTTTTACCAATGGCCACCTCATCCAAAAAATGGAAACCATCTTATGACAGCAATCGCACGTATAATGGGAATTGGAAGAAAACATACTCATGGCTCAAAAGATGTTCAGACGGATCAGAGGCAGCATATTGTAAACTGTGTCAGTGCACTGTTGCACCAAGAATTACTAGTATATCAAATCAAGAAAAATCCGAACAACACAGGATGAAAACTCCGTCAAAAAGTCAGTCACAGCTTATTACAACAATAACTCCTAGGCAAAGTAATGATAAAGTTAAAGCAGCAGAGTTGCAACTTGCTGTAAGCATTACCTGCCATTGTGCAATACGCACAATTGATAATTTAAGTGAAATCATGAGAGCACATGGCCAGGGGAGTACATGGAGCACATACAGTTGCATAGAACTAAATGTTTATGCTTAATAAGAAATATTATATCGCCTGCACTTAAGGATGACCTTATTGAGGATTTTCGGAACAAGAAATATGTCGTCATTATAGATGAGTGTACTGACGTTTCCACTCACAAGTTTATAGTTAGTTTTTTCAGTGACAGGAAAAATTAAATATTTACTAGATTTCTTGCTTTAATTTCCTTGCAAGTGGCTACAGGAGAAAACTTATTTAATTTGATTGATAAGAAAATCAAAAGGTGTAGTCAGAGTCTTACAAATTGCATTGGGTTTGCGTCAGATGGCGCTTCAAACATGGTCGGGTGCAAGAACTCTGTATGGTCCGGAATTAAAGATGTGTCTCCTTTTTGTGTACAGCTCAGATGTATCTGCCATTCACTAGCACTATGCATTTGTAGTGCAATTTCCAAGCTGCCATCAAATATTGGTTTCTTACTGTCAGAAATACCTTAGTGGTTTTGTCATAGTGATTTAAGATGAGAAGCCTATAAAGAACTGTTTAGAGTGATGAACACATCTACGGAGTTTGAATCAGAACGAACTGCTCCTCTTCCATTTGAGAAACTGTCATCTACTAGGTAGCTTGTGCGTGGAAAGATTTTGTTCAATATGTTGGGGAACTGGAAAGAACTGAAAGCTTATTTTACATGTGCTGAATTAGCACAGACAACGTTTGACACAAAATATAAAGTAACATTGTTAAAGGAAATGCTGTTAGACCACAATAATTATTTGTACTTTGTGTTTGCGACACCAATTGTACAAGAATTTGAAAGACTGAACAGTCTTTTTAAACAAACAATAGCTGATCCTCATGAACTACACCAAGAATTGTCCATGCACCAGAAAAGTCTTAAGAACAGACTGTATGTCGTCAATGAGCAAAAACAAATATTCATCACGTTGACTTTGGTATTAAATTCATCACAGAATGTAATGCGTTCCTACAGAAGAATAACGGGACTAAAGCTCAGATAGAAATAAACATTGTTAAAGAAAGATGCATGTCTGTGCTAGAGGAAGCTCTCAATCAAATTACGCGTAGACTTCCCAACGAAAAATTATTTCAAAATCTGTCAAAATTGAGCCTTTTGGCAGTTTTAAATTAAGGACACAGTTTTCAGAGCTACCATTTTTACACCTGGTAGAAAAACAACATCAGTATTATAGAAGAAAAGTACTGAAAACTGACTGTTGTCAACTGGAAAGAAGAAGCTACATTTAGGAAGGATGGACTACCTACAAACAGTGAACATTTTTGGCTAGGCGTACTTCGACACCAGGCATTTAAAGAGTTGGCCACTTTCGCCCTTACTTGCTTAATAATGCCAGTTAGCAATGCTGTAGTTGAAAGAATATTCTCTCTTGTTACTTCAACTAAATCAAAAGCAAGAAACAAAATACAACTGGATTTTCTTGATGTAATTGTCAGAATTAGAGCAGAACTACTGATATCAAAGAAATGTTGCAAAGACTTCATTTCATCTGAGAAAATGCTTAAAGATTTTATATCCGAAAAGGTTTATGCTGCATCTTCCACTAGTTCCATTGAGAATAACTGTGAAAAATTCAATCTAGAGCTTTTTATGTGAAGTGAGTACAATGTTACACTTTATTTGGCAATTTTCTGGCATATTTTGGGTGATGGTTTGGCATAAAATTACGTTTTTTATCTGGCAACCCTGGAGCCAATTTAAAACGACAACAAAATGGTTTCCATGATGACGAATGCTTTTCAGTCAGGGATGTTGGGACCTGAAATGCTCGGATTTGGGGTGGAGTGGATGAATAGTGAAGTGTCCACCGGAGTAAGTGACACATTAATGCATCCGTGTCGTTCAGTGTTTTGTTTAAATGCCGGATTACTTGATTTAAAAAAAAGTATGAATGTCACAAATCTGCTATCATCACCTGTTTTCGATAACCAAAATAAGTACTAAAACTGCTTTTTTTTTCATCTTAGCGTTCACAAGCTGTAAATTCTCGCGGAAAATTCTGGTCGTTTGTCCACTTCTAGACTGTAGTCCGGTTCCAGAACCTGAGTGTAGCTTAGTAGTTTTGCCATTGCCAGCTCTCGTTAACACTGTTGAAACCAAACCAAACCAATGCAAGATTTTAGATACTTTAGTCAAAATTTTAAAATGCCCTCTACACCAATAAAACCAGCACAGTTAGATAGCTGTAAACAATCTCTTTCCAACGGTACCTCAATTAGCCTTGTATGAATGTAATTTCTGAGCTGAGATATGTAGGTTTTTGTTGAGATAAGATGTAAAAAACAGCTGCTAAAACTTGCGACCCAGAAACAAGGAGTTTTCTCTGCGCAACCAAACTGCGCACTGTCGTTTCGGCTTTGTTTACATTGGACAAGATGGCAGACAATTTTTCTCAGACACAGCCACATAATATCGATTGCCTGAAAAATGTCACTGTAAATCGAATTAGCCATACCTAAGAAAAAACTATGTATGTCGGCCACGCTCTTAGAATGGATAAATCAAGACTTCCTTACCAAGCCCTCATTTGGACACCACAGGGAAAAAGATCCCGTGGAAGACCAAGGGAAACCCTACGTAGAACTATCATCAGGGAAGGCTCACTCATGGGCCACTCAAACATTCAAGACAGATTGCAACGAACCGCCATGCATGGAGAGTCATGACCTCTGCCCTATGTGCCGCAGTCGACACAAGAGGAAAGACTAACTAACTAACTAGGAAAGAAATTTTATACACAAATGTAAAATTTGAGAATTCAATTATAACTAGCATTACCATGTCAAGTAATGTTAAAGCCTAAAGCCAACCTTGAATACTTACCGCTATTTTCAATCAAACTGATTGTAACAGAAAAACAGAGGACGTCCGGCTGTCGTAGACATGCGCTGTTAATCGGGTTCGTTTCCGCCGTTTTCAGCTATTTATAGCTGGTGAAAATCACACCAATCGCATAATTTTATGAGAGATTAGGACCCATCCCGAAACCCCAGCCGACATTTCCCAAACAAGTTTCAAACGGTTTGCAAATCGCCTGCAGCTGCTGTTATTGAACCAGGCACTCCAACATTGCGAAGTGTGCTAGCAACACTTAAGCCACATACATACATTCAGTTTCAGTGGCGCTGCATGGAAAGTGCATAATTGAATTCATATTGTTTAAACATGTAAAAGTTAAGTGCTGTCTAGTGAGAGAATAAGAATATGCGGCTCTCCTCCGAAGGGTGTCATAATATTATGGCGGCCATAAAATATCCGAACGGGGCTTAGGCATATCTAAAATACGGACTTTCTGCCAAGGAGCCAAACAAATCGCGGCAAAACTAGGACTACTTGACAATATCAACATTGCACACAGTAGTAGCAGACGATAAATACCAACTGTTGACAATTTTGAGCGTTTCTGCAGACGATATTAGCGACTGTTGACAATTTCGAGACATTACAGACGATGAAAGTGATATGGCGGGTAGACCACGCGCTACCACGCAGATTAGCAATACTGTTAGTCCGATTGAGGATTAAGCAGCGGTAGATGTCAGACCTGCCGACCTGTATCCTCACACATTTCGGCATGCAAAAAACGCGATTACACTTACCACCGAGAGTATCCTCCGCACTGGTACACGCGGCGCGGAAGGGGTGCTAAACTTGGTGCCTGGGACTCACGAGCAAATTAGTTGGAGGAAATTGCAGGAGATGCGGTAGCTGCTGCTCGTGAGTCCCAGCCATCTAGTTTAGCCCCCATCCGGGATACCGTCAGCGTTGAGTCACAGAAACAGGTCCGCAAGTAACATATCGCTGAGACCCTGTTAAAGCATTTGTTTCGTTATACAGAGCCAACATATGTTTAATACAACTGAGCCCCGTTCAGATAATTTTGGATATTTTATGGCCGCCATAATATTAATTGATAGAATAACTAATGTAGAACTTTGGGAGAGAACTAAACAGGCTTCAGTGGATCAGGGGGTGAGGAAAAGACGCTGGCGTTGGATAGGGCACACACTGAGAAAACAGAACAGCATAACTAGAATGTCTTTGCATTGGAACCCACAGGGGCATAGGAATAAAGGAAGGCCAAAAAACACATGGAGAAGAGAGCTGGAGAATGAGGTTAGAAAGATGGGGAGGACATGGGGAGAGCTCCAGGTAATGGAGAAGGATAGAACGACTTGGCGTGAGTTGGTTGAGGGCCTATGCTCCATTGGGGGATAGAAAGGCAGAGGAAGGAAGGATAATATTAATATTATGATGCTGTTCGGAGGAGAGCCGAATATGCTTATCTGTCTACAAAATGTTGCATGTTCTCTACTTGCAGACAACAATCATGGCCACTCAGTATGATGGGGGTGTAGTAGTTGGTGCAGATTCTAGGACAACAACCGGGTAAGTTTCATTTTGTAAATGTTTAGGTGCAATGTAATTTATATTGGTATACAATTTGTATATGTTTTGGTGCAATGTAATTTATATTGTTACAGCAAGCCTGATTTAAATGTTTATGCCTGGAGTGGCTTCCTGAATGGATAAGAAAAGCATGCTCTTATTTACAGGATCCAGTTTCAACTTGGTGAGGTGGTGGATTTTTCTGTTTATGTGAGAATAATATCAGCGTCTGTGGCTTAGGTGCTGCAAACGCACTTCTAAATGCTGAGGTGCTGTTTTTGATCCCAGCTGCAGATTATTTGGCAGCGGACGTTCTTGCTTTGGTTTCAGTAGTAATATCGAGAGCCGGCCATTCAGACGCAGTGACAAACAAGTGAACGTAAATTAGCTAACAGAATCACAAACTGCCATAAAAATGTCAGGGTTTGTTTTGCAGTCAGCAGTTAAACAGTCCTTTTGCAGTGTAGCCAGAAATATGAGTACCACAGGAACCTGGTTATAAGCAGCACCTTGTCTAGGTAGGGAGTCACCATTTAAATATTTATATACTGTGATCCTGGTGTTAAGAGATAGAACATTTGGTCTGTAGAACATTAGAGTGACACACTCTATTGATTGAATTCAGGAGCTATATCGCCAATCGAGTGACAGACAAATTGACCAGGATCACAGACTACATCTACTGCTGCCGTTCTGGATCTGCCGCAGACACACAAGCTGTTGCTGATCTAGTCAAGTACCAGATTGACTTTCACAGGTAAGTTAGACTGCTCTGTGGCCATTTGCCTTTTGTTCTGGAGATCGTGGGTTCGTTTCAAGGACTGCATTGTTTGGTTCACAAGCGCAGCTTTTATTATTATTGGAGCAGCCAGGCTTTGTGCATTGTAATATGCTCTTATTAAGCAGCTAGACATTCTGAAGAGGAGAGTGAGATGTGTGGGATCAAACCTGGTGTGTGTGTGTGTTGTCCATCAAGATGATGATGACCACTTTTTCATCAAGTATGAGTACGAAGATGACTGATGAGGCCGATGCGGGCCCGAAAAGTTCTTGGACAGTGAGGACAGGGAATGAGCATTGTGCCAGGGAGGAATCTCCTGCAGTCGCCTTTCTGCCCATCCTTTTCTGAATAAGTCTTGCTGTTCTGTTTGCTTCACATGTAGCCGCAGCCTTCAAACCTGGTACAGTGAATCAGTCCTGTGTAAACCCATCAATACTCTGTAAATACCATCTAACTCACTGTATGCTTCTTGATTACTCTGTACATTGTACTCATCTGTGAATTCCTTCTGTCTTCTTTTGAAAAACAAATGGGAAAGTCCTCATGGAGACACAATGAAACTGGAAATTCTTTAGAGAAGATAGAGATAGGCAGTCAGAGAGAGAGAGAGTGGGGGGGGGGGGTGTTGAAACTGAGAGCTTTTTTGGAACTGACAGTCTGCCTGTAGATTTGAACCTGAGACCTTTGAACTGACAGCAGACTGGCAAGCATCTAGCCGGTACGCTACTGCTGTTTCCATTTTAACCTAAAACTGGAGTGATATCTAGCCTACAGAAGGGTTATACTTGGAAATCGCAAGTAAACTTCCTCACCTGGTTCTATACCACTGGTCCTGTTGGAGTAAAGGGTAATGTATGAACAGACCACCTGGCAAGTATTGTGCCACTTCTCAAATTACCTTACTGAATGTGGTCTCTCTTGATTTTTTCCTGTGCAAAAAAAAAAAGGCAGAAACCCAACACCGTCCTGGAAGAATTTTCTACGTTTGAAAGAAAGGTAGGAAAAGATAGAAAATGTTTTTCCGACACCGCTGTAAATAAAAAAAGTAATTTAAAATAATTGTTCTTCACGGTTTTGGGTAATCACACTTATTTCAGTTTTCTGTTTTTAGAGTAGGATTTAGTTCACAGTTCTTAGCGTCCAACTTAGTTCACAGTTTGTTGAGAAATGTTCTTAACTTTCACCCAGTCCTCTAAATGCGTACAGTTCATTGAGTTTGTGAAAGTATGTTTCAGCTAGAATGGGCTTGTCTTCCCGGATTCTAGTGTAGATGGTTCGTGTAGTAACCCCAAATTCGGACTTCATCTGACCCAGATTGAGTCGTTGAACGGTGAGTGTAGTTACCTCAATTGGGGCCTCATCTTACCCAGATTGAGTCGTTGAACGGTACGTGTAGTTACCTCAATTGGGGCCTCATCTTACACAGATTGAGTGGTAGGCAGTGCATGCTCTTGGTTTCATTCACTTTCATTTCAAGTTTCAGTTTTTTATTTTTAATAAATAGTTTCAAAATTGTTTTATATTACTTAAAAACCTTGTGCCCACAAAGCTGGAGACCACTGGTATAACTCAACCTAGCATGTGTACATGTTCAATTAAATGTATGACTTTGACTTTGTTCAGAATGGAGATGGGCAAGGAGCCGCTGGTGAAAACAGTTGCCAACATCTTCAAGCAGTTGTGCTATGACTACAGGGACCAGATCACTGCAGGCATCATTGTTGCTGGATGGGATAGTAAAGATGGGGGACAGGTAGCTGACAGTGTTGTTTATGCTGTGTCTGCAACATGGTCTGGTTGGAAGTGAGTTGGAGGATCGATTGTTGGGGGCATTACGGTGTGGGGAATAGTGGTGATGCAGTCTTTGTATAGAGAGAATCAAGGTTTTGTGTGTTAAGGGTTGTTCGTTGAAGTTGTATGTAGGGGTTAATGGTTGAAGATTGTTTGTTGGGTGTGTGTTTGGAGAGGTTTAGTTGTTGAGACTGTGTGTGTTGAAGACTTATTGTCAAAGTTGTATTTTTGGAGAAGAATGATTGTTAAAGCTGTGTTGGAGACTGATTGTTGGCGTTAAATGTGTTGGGGACTGATTGTTGGCGTTAAATGTGTTGGGGACTGATTTCTGAGGTTGTGTGTTGAGGTTGATTGTTGAGGCTGTGTGTGTTGGGGATTGATTGTTGAGGCTGTGTGTGTGGCGTTAATTGTCGAGGCTGTGTGTGTGAGGTTAATTGTCGAGGCTGTGTGTGTGGCGTTAATTGTTGAGGCTGTGTGTGTGAGGTTAATTGTTAAGGCTGTGTGTGTGAGGTTAATTGTTGAGGCTGTGTGTGTGGCGTTAATTGTCGAGGCTGTGTGTGTGGCGTTAATTGTTGAGGCTGTGTGTGTGAGGTTAATTGTTGAGGCTGTGTGTGTGGCGTTAATTGTTGAGGCTGTGTGTGTGGCGTTAATTGTTGAGGCTGTGTGTGTGAGGTTGATTGTCGAGGCTGTGTGTGTGGCATTAATTGTTGAGGCTGTGTGTGTGGCGTTAATTGTTGAGGCTGTGCGTGTGGCAATAATTGTTGAGGCTGTGTGTGTGGCGTTAATTGTTGAGGCTGTGTGTGTGGCGTTAATTGATGAGGCTGTGTGTGTGGCGTTAATTGTTGAGGCTGTGTGGCGTTAATTGTTAAGGCTGTGTGTGTGGCGTTAATTGTTGAGGCTGTGTGTGTGGCGTTAATTGTTGAGGCTGTGTGTGTGGCGTTAATTGTTGAGGCTGTGTGTGTGGCGTTAATTGTTGAGGCTGTGTGTGTGGCGTTAATTGTTGAGGCTGTGTGTGTGGCGTTAATTGTTGAGGCTGTGTGTGTGTGGCGTTAATTGTTGAGGCTGTGTGTGTGGCGTTAATTGTTGAGGCTGTGTGTGTGGCGTTAATTGTTGAGGCTGTGTGTGTGGCGTTAATTGTTGAGGCTGTGTGTGTGTGGCGTTAATTGTTGAGGCTGTGTGTGTGGCGTTAATTGTTGAGGCTGTGTGTGTGTGCGTTAATTGTTGAGGCTGTGTGTGTGGCGTTAATTGTTGAGGCTGTGTGTGTGGCGTTAATTGTTGAGGCTGTGTGTGTGAGGTTGATTGTCGAGGCTGTGTGTGTGAGGTTGATTGTCGAGGCTGTGTGTGTAGCGTTAATTGTTGAGGCTGTGTGTGTGGCGTTAATTGTCGAGGCTGTGTGTGTGGCGTTAATTGTCGAGGCTGTGTGTGAGTTTAATTGTTGAGGCTGTGTGTGTGGCGTTAATTGTTTAGGCTGTGTGTGTGAGGTTGATTGTCAAGGCTGTGTGTGTGGCGTTAATTGTCAAGGCTGTGTGTGTGGCGTTAATTGTCGAGGCTGTGTGTGTGGCGTTAATTGTTGAGGCTGTGTGTGTGGCGTTAATTGTTGAGGCTGTGTGTGTGGCGTTAATTGTTGAGGCTGTGTGTGTGGCGTTAATTGTTGAGGCTGTGTGTGTGGCGTTAATTGTTGAGGCTGTGTGTGTGGTGTTAATTGTTGAGGCTATGTGTGTGGCGTTAATTGTTGAGGCTATGTGTGTGGCGTTAATTGTTGAGGCTGTGTGTGTGGCGTTAATTGTTGAGGCTATGGGTTTAAGGTTGATTGTCAAGGCTGTGTGTGTAGTGTTAATTGTTGAGGCTGTGTGTGTGGCGTTAATTGTTGAGGCTGTGTGTGTGGCGTTAATTGTTGAGGCTGTGTGTGTGGCGTTAATTGTTGAGGCTGTGTGTGTGAGGTTGATTGTCGAGGCTGTGTGTGTGGCGTTAATTGTTGAGGCTGTGTGTGTGGCGTTAATTGTTGAGGCTGTGTGTGTGGCGTTAATTGTCGAGGCTGTGTGTGTGGCGTTAATTGTCGAGGCTGTGTGTGTGGCGTTAATTGTCGAGGCTGTGTGTGAGTTTAATTGTTGAGGCTGTGTGTGTGGCGTTAATTGTTTAGGCTGTGTGTGTGAGGTTGATTGTCAAGGCTGTGTGTGTGGCGTTAATTGTTGAGGCTGTGTGTGTGGCGTTAATTGTTGAGGCTGTGTGTGTGGCGTTAATTGTTGAGGCTGTGTGTGTGGCGTTAATTGTTGAGGCTGTGTGTGTGGCGTTAATTGTTGAGGCTGTGTGTGTGGCGTTAATTGTTGAGGCTGTGTGTGTGGTGTTAATTGTTGAGGCTGTGTGTGTGGCGTTAATTGTTGAGGCTGTGTGTGTGGCGTTAATTGTTGAGGCTATGTGTGTGGCGTTAATTGTTGAGGCTGTGTGTGTGAGGTTGATCGTTGAGGTTCTGTGTGTGTGAGGTTGATCGTTGAGGTTCTGTGTGTGTGAGGTTGATCGTTGAGGTTCTGTGTGTGTGAGGTTGATCGTTTAGGTTCTGTGTGTGTGAGGTTGATCGTTGAGGTTGTGTGTGTAGTGTTTGACTGTTGAGGCTATATGTATGGTGTTGATGTGTGTGGGAGTTTCATTGTTGGGACAGTAAAAAGTAATGCCTCCTAATTTGTATCTACGTAAATACTATATCAGTCTGCATTTTGTAAATTTTGCAGGACTCCTCAAACACTCTTCTGCAATGTTTAGCATTACTAACTTGTTTCACTAACAGGTGGCACCACCGTAACGGTTTAAAAAAATTGTTCAGTTAAAACAATGTAACGTCATAGAATCCTTAATGCTGTAGGCTGGACCCCAGTTTATATCCACGAACTTATGAAGACTGTTTATGGATATTCAGCAGTGGACATTAACACTGTCTGATGCTGGGTAAATTGTTGTGACGAAGCTGAAGTAGGTCAATTGTCAATGGCCGCCGTAAAGTGTACTGGCTGTTCGACTACTGCAGTTACTCTACACAACATTCATCAAGTTGATGACATTATTCATGCTGACCGTCATGATATTGATCATGTGTTTCCAGAGGGCCTTACCACATGTACCCTGCCTTATGCATCATTTTGCTACTGATGCAGAATCAGCCAGCATGCCTGCTTGTTCTTTTCCCAACACATGAAATAAACAAGATTAAACATTTATATATTTATTGACACAGTTTTACAGTCGTAGCTGTTTTTCTGCAGGTGTATTCAGTTCCCATCAGTGGCATGCTCCAGAGGATGCCATTTACCATTGGAGGATCAGGCAGTTCCTATCTCTATGGATATGTGGATGCCAATTTCAAGCCTGCCATGACAAAGGAGCAAAGTCTACAGTTTGTGGCCAACTGTAAGTTTTGGACAGTCTTGACTGCATTATTTATCATATTATGTTTGGCCCCTTAGTTCTAGCTGCTGTGGGATCCACTTACGTGTTTATGGAAATAAGACAAGTCTATCCACAACCTTCTGTTTCCTGTACTTGCAGTCAGTTCTCACACGGTTGATCTTCAATGCTGTGTCATGTCTATCCACAGCCTGCTATCTCCTGTACTTTCAGTCAGTTTTCACACAGTTGATCTTCCGTGCCGTATCATGTTGGTAGTCATGTCTATCCACAACCTTCTGTGTCCTGTACTTTCAGTCAGTTTTCACGCAGTTGATCTTCCGTGCCGTATCATGTTGGTAGTCATGTCTATCCACAACCTTCTGTGTCCTGTACTTTCAGTCATTTCTCACACAGTTGATCTTCCGTGCCGTATCATGTTGGTAGTCATGTCTATCCACAACCTTCTGTTTCCTGTACTTTCAGTCAATTCTCACGCAGTTGATCTTCGATGCCATGATGTCAGACTGTTCAGCCTCTTCTCTCTCGGGCTCCTATGCTTCTTTTCCCCTCTAGCTTTCCCACCATCAGGATGTACTTCAGTTTTTCCTTCTCATGACATGACAAAAGAATGTCGATTGTCTGACATGGGCAACAGTTCTTTTCATGAATCATTTTCTTAAAAAGACATCTTCATTTCTCTTTATCTGTCCAGGGTATTCTCACCATTTGTCTATAAATTGACATCTCTGCACCTTCCACATATTAAAAATTTTTTTTTGACTAATCGGCCAACTCTCCATGATTCACTTTCATATACAGTGCAGATGACTTAAAGCATCTCGGATGTGGCACATTTTTGTTGCGAAGAACAATTTATGTTTGTCTGGCAATATTTCGTGCTTGGACTCTTATTTGCGTGAAAGGAATTTCTGGTAAGAAGAATTATTTCTTGGGTCCCCAGTGAGTTCTCCTTTACCATATCTGCACTCTGTCTGGATAGAATCGATTTAACACTCAGTTGACAAAAAAAAACCCTGCATAAAGTATTCAAAGAAACAGGTATATAATCCCTCAGCTCTGGATTGGAAGGTGATATCTTATTTGTACCAGCTTAATAGTCATAGTCCATGCCAACCAAACATTGAAGGTCTAGTCTCCATTGAAGACAATATTTTACAACTATGATGGCTCAGCTGTCAAACAATTGTCATACAAGTGGGTACCAAACAACTGTCTGCTGTTTGAGAGGGAAGGTGATGCAGAGGGAAAGTGACGAGGAAAGGAACTGACAGTCCCATCTCATGTGTCATATTCTTCAGCATTCCAAACTTTTTTCCTGCAGATATCACCTGCCTCCATTCATCTCTGTAAATGACTTTATCTTTCCGCTTAGTGTCTCCAAGTGTTTGTAGGCCTGCATATTTATCATCTCCTCACACCGAAATATAGGGTTAACCTTAGACGTTTTAGCACTGAGACAGGAAGGTTGAAAAGTTTATAGTGTGCCCAGATATTGTGTTGAAGTAAAACAGTTGAGAGTATTACTCTTAAATTATTATTTTGAAAAAGGAGAATTGTAGTATCATATGAATTCCCTCACTGCAGTAAAACTATAAAAACTAACTTCTTCATAAACGATGTTAAACAAATAATTAAGAAAATATGTCAGTGTATTAATTGTGTGCTGAAATAAACACACTTTCCCTGTGTGTGTTCCAGGGAGTTGACTAATTGGGTGCTTCTTTTGAAATGGGAGTGCATTTGCCTGAGCGGCCAGGAACAGCTCACTGTACACAAAGCCAGTAAAATGGATACAAAACAAAAAACTCAGGCCCTGGCACAAACCCAAAGCCCAAATGGACCAACAACCAGGACTTATTGCCGTAGCTTACACAAGGTGAACAAAGAAGATAAAGAGAGCATCTGAGAAGAAACATGCCTAACACAGATGATGGTAACAGCGGTCCTGAAATCCCATGCTATAATTGTTTAAGACTTTTATTAACGCGGGTGAGTCTTGCTAGTCACATGTGCCATCGCCATGACTGTGAGTCCCATGCCTCCGCATAGAGCAGTAAAACACTGTCGTCTGGAAAGATGCCAATAACAGCAGCAAACTTATAAGGAGTTTAAAACACTTTATTTATTATAATGCTGAAGTAAATGAAAACTTCCAGAATACATAATAATGATGTGAGAAAACAATCGTTAATGTTTTTTTTTGATGTGAGTTTCACTAAATACACAAATGAAATGTTTCGATTATTCTCCTACAGCCGTCTCCCTGGCCATGAACCGCGATGGATCTAGCGGTGGTATTATCCGTCTGGCATCTATATCCAAAGATGGAGTTGAGCGACATGTCCTCACTGGCGATAAAGTGCCTAAATTTTATGAAGATTATTAAATGACCTGTTGTTATGGTGAATTCTTTGTTTGTGCTAGTATTGTAAATTCTGAGTTGCATCCTGCCATGTCAGTGATGGATGAATGAAAGAGCAAAATTGAGTTGGCATAAAAGCGTGAGAAACTGGAGTATGTATCACACAACAAACCAGTAGGCTCATCACACATTAACAGTGGGTAGAATATGTCACATTTAAATTATTAAACTTGTTGATTCCGTGGGGGGGGGGGGGGGGGGGGGGGGGGGGACTGTTTCTGAATTAGCATGCTGTCAAGGTTGACTAAATGGGTATGCTGAAATTGGATGAACTGGGATTAAAAACACATTTATCACAGCCAGCTGTAAACCACAACATGATAATATGACAATAGTCCTGTTGAGGGTGAACCCAGAAGAAAAAGAAACAATTATACATCTTGTATTTATACACTCAATTAGTTAAATGCATACCATGAAAATAACAGGTCATGCTCATCATCATCGTCATCACTATGTAGCAGTATATAGTTTCATGTAGCAGTATATAACTTCATGTAGCAGTATATAGTTTCATGTAGCAGTATATAACTTCATGTAGCAGTATATAACTTCATGTAGCAGTATATAACTTCATGTAGCAGTATATAGTTTCATGTAGCAGTATATAACTTCATGTAGCAGTATATAACTTCATGTAGCAGTATATAGTTTCATGTAGCAGTATATACCTTCATGTAGCAGTATATACCTTCCTGTAGCAGTATATAGCTTCATGTAGCAGTAGCTAGCTTCATGTGGCAGAATATAGCTTCATGAAGCAGTATATAGCTTCATGTAGCAGAATATAGCTTCATGTAGCAGAATATAGCCTCATGTAGCAGTATATAGCTTCATGTAGCAGAATATAGCTTCATGTAGCAGAATATAGCTTCATGTAGCAAAATATAACTTCATGTAGCAGAATATAACTTCATGTAGCAGAATATAACTTCATGTAGCAGAATATAGCTTCATGAAGCAGAATATAGCTTCATGTAGCAGAATATAGCTTCATGTAGCAGAATATAGCTTCATGTAGCAGAATATAGCTTCATGTAGCAGAATATAGCTTCATGTAGCAGAATATAGCTTCATGTAGCAGAATATAGCTTCATGTAGCAGAATATAGCTTCATGTAGCAGAATATAGCTTCATGTAGCAGAATATAGCTTCATGTAGCAGAATATAGCTTCATGTAGCAGAATATAGCTTCATGTAGCAGAATATAGCTTCATGTAGCAGAATATAGCTTCATGTAGCAGAATATAGCTTCATGTAGCAGAATATAGCTTCATGTAGCAGAATATAGCTTCATGTAGCAGAATATAGCTTCATGTAGCAGTATATAGCTTCATGTAGCAGTATATAGCTTCATGTAGCAGTATATAGCTTCATGTAGCAGAATATAGCTTCATGTAGCAGAATATAACTTCATGTAGCAGAATATAGCTTCATGTAGCAGAATATAGCCTCATGTAGCTTCATGTAGCAGTATATAGCTTCATGTAGCAGAATATAGCTTCATGTAGCAGAATATAGTTTCATGTAGCAGAATATAGCTTCATGTAGCAGAATATAGCTTCATGTAGCAGAATATAACTTCATGTAGCAGCATATAGCCTCATGTAGCAGTATATAGCTTCATGTATAAATCATGTCCTGGAGAAAATGGGAAGGACCAGGGGATCTGGTCGACAGTCCTCAAGACGAGACTGACATATATTCAGACTGCTACTGTTACAGTCAGAATTGCAACTCTTCGCTAGCTGCTGAATGTGAGGATGGAGCACTTATGGGTATGTCCAAGCACTGTGATTTCAGTTCTTAGCCCAACATCTTCATGTAGCAGGTCCTTTTGCATGTAGCAGGTCCTTTTTTGCGGAATGCTGCTCTCATTATGACACTCTGGAAAGCCACTTGATCCCTTGCCAACATCCATACCATGTGACCTTTCATGATTTAGGCCTTCTTGATATCCTAGGTTCACCATTCTACTGGTTAAATGACCTCTGGCTGCTCTTCCAAGAACAATACGCTCTATTACTGTACTTTCAAAACCAAATATTTCAGTTTACCATTATACAATTTACGAGCCAGTCCCTCCCTCTCGATTTTCAAACCTGGAAGAATATCATGTTTCTTTCTCTTGTTCTATACTAATCTGTACTATAAAAGCTTTTGGAGTGAAATGCTATAGAAAGATTTCATGAAAAATGTGGACCAAGAAAAAAAGAAATACTGACATCCTGAATGAGCATCAAAGAAGATTGGTTAGTAAACAGTATCTTATCTTTCTCTTGTTCTATACTAATCTGTACTATAAAAAGCTTTTTGACTGAAATGCTATAGAAAGACTTCCCAAAAAATGTGGACCAAGAAAAAAAGAAAGATTTCCCGAAAAATGTGGACCAAGAAAAAAAGAAATACTGACATCCTGAATGAGCATCAAAGAAGATTGGTTAGTAAACAGTATCTTTTAGAAACTGAAATATTTTGGCCATATCAAAGGGGATTGGAAAGATTAGTAGCAGAAGGCTTGGTGTCAGGAAGGAGGGGCAGGGAATGACTGGCATGAAGATGGGCACAGGGTATGCATGACACCTTAGATGGAAAAGTGCGCGAGGTTGGAGATCTGACGAAAGACCCTGTTTCTTTCAGGCAGACTGCAATAGGAGCGAGGTTCTGCAAAGGACCTGCTACATGATGATGATGATCTATTCTGTCTCTACTGCTGGTATATACCACTTTTGAACTCTTTCAGTCCCAGAAGAGCAAAGCCTGACTGAAGCAATAATGATGACAACAGAAGCATGGGTACATTGCATCCACATGGTGCAGATACACAGCACATTGCTTATGACTTGGGTGGATCGATTGATGTCATTTTCTTGACTGAACTTAAGATGTACAAGTATACAAAACATATTGACTGGTTCACATGCGTAATATCGAGTACACATTGTGTGTTGTTTGGGACTGAAAGCGTTAAGGAGAGGTTGTGAACCTCATAGTGGAAGGCTGCATGGGTAGCGCAGTTGTCATGAACTGTGCAGATTAATATTTTCATTTATGTCGCCGACAAAACATTTTGTTAATCCCTTAGCGAGGGATCAAACCTGGGTCTTCTAAAGGAGAAAACAGTTCAGCTGCTCAAAACTGCTCTATAATCTCTTTAAAAGAAAATCCTTGGGCCAAAGTTTTAGTTCAAAAGTACAAGTCACAAAGTTGTTTTTATGTCGCAAAATTAATTACACGTGGTAGTAAAACTCAACAAGTTCCAGTGTGCCAAGCGGTGAAAAAAAGTAGCTGGCACCGGAGAGGACACGATGAGAAAACCTGAGAACAATATAACTAGAATGTCTTTGCACTGGAACCCACAAGGGCATAGAAATAAAGGAAGACCTAAAACACACGGAGAACGGAGCTAGAGAGTAAAGTTAAAAAGATAGGAAGCGCTGCATGAGATAGTTTGGCATGATTTGGTTGAGGGCTTATGCTCCACTGGGGGCTAGAAAGGCAGAGGAAGAATAAAACATTGCTTTGTTATATGCTTTCCACTCAAAGAGTAGAAGAGATTTACTACTACACTCTAGAGTAGAATATTTAGGTTTGTCCATTCTCCATTTGATTAAGATCCCAGTGTATGATGATATGAAATAAATTTTTGATCTGTTATACTGAAAATGACTCGTTTATGGTAGCAGTTGTTCAAAAATTTTTCTTTTTTTTATCTTTTTGTGTGTGTCAAAACTGATTATCATTGTAGTAAGAGAGACTGCACTAGAGTAGTTGAACCCTATTGGGGTACACGAAAAAAAATGGGTCATGACCCCATTGGAATTTCAGTAAAATTCCTTTAAAAACAATTGTATACACTAATAAATTCATTAAAAGTATTTGTCTAAATTTATAATGTTTTTCCTAAATTTAAAAAGATATAAGAATGGAGTAATCAAGCAAACTTGGGTTGCAAATTGGACCTTCAGTCCCGTCTTACATCAGCTATTTCAGGCATTTATCTTTCACACTGGAAATGCTTCTTAAGCATATTATAGTAATAATAGTATGGATGGATTTGGCTGCACATAGTGTGTTCGAATACGGTGTTGATTGTTAATATATTGTTATCTGTGAAGCGTGCTAGTTTTGTATTCAGGAAAATAGATAGATGTTGAATGGAATGATTATATTCTATTTGTTTGATTCAGAATAGGACTTATAGTTCGTGTGTGTGGTCTGACTAGGCACTACTATTTAGTTATATGTTGTAGTTTTTGTGCAATTCAGTATTCATATGTTCATCGCCTGAGTCATGAAAAATATTGACAGACAAAGAAGATGATCGAGTGCCCCAGTGATAAGTGTGGGTGGTCATAGGTCATGGCTGGCTAACTAGATCACCAGGGTCTTTGATCAGCTCTGTATTCTTGTCTCAATTATGTCAAGCGACCAAGTGTTCTTGGTATATTGTCTCTCGTTTACTCTGTTGCTATCAGATTTGCTAGCTGTCATAGACTTTGCATGTTTGTTTCTCTCCATGTCACGTAGGGCTACATTATTAAAGTCGACATCTAATTAGTCAATTAAAAAAATCTAAGGGCGCTTTTTACGCCAGCAGCATACTGGGCAAATGATAGAAGACGCGTTGTTTTTATAAACCAATCAGAACTCTGTGTACGATGTGATGATCACCACGCCTGCTGATTGCCTTTGCTTCCTATGATATTATCTGGTATTTTAGGGGGGGGGGGGGACCCATGAACGTCACACACAAATCTGACTCGATGTAGATTCGAAGCAAGGACCCTCAATGGCCGGGGTCTAACTACCAGACAGCCACCCATGCTTGTGGTCTCCAACCTGTGACAGGAGGGGGCCGAGGACGTTTCAAACAACTGTTCAGTTTTGACGATCGTGAAAACAAAACAGCGCCCCCTGCTTGATGTGGAGCGAGATCTCTGTTGTGATTTGTCCAACATCAG